GTTGCGTTCTCCTTGCTGTCCACCTCATGCACTCAGCAGAAAGGAGGAAGAAGTTCTATTCCACCTGAAACACCCACCTGACTGTGATGACTTTCTATTATGCTCCCTTTGTTTACAATTATCTATGCCCAAGGTCCCCCCAATCTCCAATGGAGGACAAGATTCTGGCTGTCTTCTATACCATTGTGACCCCAATGCTCAACCCCATCATCTACAGCCTGAGAAACAAAGAGGTGATGGGGGCCCTAAGAAGAGTGATTCAAAGAATATGCACTGTGAAAATGTAGACAGAGTTTTTTGCTTATGTACCCAGGACCTGGTTATAAGTTCACTAATCATAAATAGTAAGTAAAAATATTTTATGCATAGGGTTCAAGTAGTAAAATTAATCTAGATCAGAAGAAAATCACTCATATCTGGACAAAACTAGCTTGTAAATACATGTAAAACTGATAACTCAAGGAGAATTTTCTTCTGAAAAGATTTCTATTATGAGTAGATTTCAACCCATCAATTTCAATATAAATCAATTTCTTGTAAATCTGAGTTTAATTTTAAGTGTAAATTTAATGTATGGTATTTTAATGATTCCTCTCAAATTTATGGTAATTTGTGGACTTTGTATAAGACATAGGAAATGGTTTTATATTTCAAATGCTTGTTTATTCATTTTATCATTGTATTTCAATTACATGTTAAAATGATGTTAGTTTTCTCTTTGGTTAATGATTTATTTTTGAAACTTCATACGAAAAGCATGTTCTTTTCCATCGATTATCTTTCATATTAATTTTTAAATTATCTGTACATCTTATTTAAAGTTCTAAGCCTGTGGACATTTTCTTTGCAATGTTGCTGATGAATTCTAATGACTTCCAATGCTGTATTACAATGACTATATGTGTACTTTTATTTACAACAATTTAGGACAAAGTTTACATCCTAAGTTCCCTAAGATTCCCTGTCCTAGAACTCTGGTGAGATAGTTAATAATTTTGCTAATGACACAAGGATGGTCTCTGGGATGGATGGATAAGTCAGACCCCGCTCCCATCATGGGTCATTGTTCCTGGCAGAAGAGATCATCCTCCCTTATGTGCAGTGGCCACTTCTACCATTGATGCTCCATTGGCAGCTGCTATTGACATCACTACCACCCATTCAGTTCCATGTCCCAACCCAGACAGTCCCTTTGCATCCTGTCATTCTTTGAGCACAGATGTGTGTGTGCACATGGGGAAGCCAGGTCAATTGCTCCATGTACATGCTTCCTGAGCCCACAAGTGCAGGTGCTATTGCTGGACCAAAACTGCATTCTAATGCTGCCATCTAGCCTAGCTCCCCTGCTCACATGCATACTCAGAGATAAAATTATTGAGAATTTTGAGATTTCAACAACAGAGTATTAAACCAAGCAAAGTGTCTTTCTGAGTGTGAGACCCCATGCAAGCACACAGGCCACATTCCCATGAGGTCAGCCCTGAGAAGAGTAAAGTAAGTGAGTGGGAAGGGAATAGTATCATTCAAACCAGGAAAATGACAATATCTGCTGTTTGTGTCAGTTGTAGTCAATGTAAATATTCTGAGGGAGTATGGAAAGAAGGAAAAAAGGCAATAAAAATTATGTTAAATGTGATTTTATATGCATCTAATTTTATTAAGCCCCATTTCCTGAGTCATCCATAGAAAAATTAATTTGAGTCTCCTATTTTTTCAAACTTTTGAACAAATTTTAAAAAGCAGAATGCTTGTGAAAACAGTGCAAGCTTCTCTACCTAATCTTTGCTGCTTTACTTCTAAAATTGGCAAGAAGTCCAATCATAGTTCTTAATGTCCTTTAGAGAATGTAAAAACCCTGAGAGCCTCTTTTTCTGAGGTGTAAGTGATCTCAGGCCAAATACTGGTGGCATCATGAGCACAAACATGAACAAATTCTGAAATGTGAAAACTGTAAACTACTTCAGTGCACAGCTCCTTGTTTGGCACTGTCAGCAAGTACACTTGAGTACCAGAAACACTTCATCTTATTCTTTTCTTTCTGGAACTGGGAAATTGTTCTTCCATGTCTAGGAATTCTGAGTATTATATACTATATATAATTTTGATAAGAATTTCCAAGCTACCCAGTTTTTAAAATCCTTATTAGTAGAGGCTATGGAAGATACACTGTAGGTTGGGAAAAAAAGTAAGTCTAAATAAATTGTATTTTGAACAATTTATTTTAAAAAGTCATGCTTCTGAAAACATTTTTATCTTTTTTTTGTCTTTTCTTGAGACAGCAAAAATTTCATCTTTGGAAGAATATGGTTCCAGGTCACATTTTGTTGTTTTGTTCCCCATGTCTAGGGTGTTGTAAGTGGAATCATCAAATGTGTGTATCATCATAGCTCAGAAAATTGAGGGGTACTTCTCATTTCTTTTAAACGTTAGAGAGTGCAAATTTTATTCATTCTCACTGCAACAAAATTAATGTAAACTGGCCTTCCAAAATTGTTTCCCCAAATACTGAAACATCCTTATTTTACGGTCATGAAGTAATTGAGTATGTCAAGAGGTAAAGGGAATTTGTACTGTTGAAACCACCTGATAATTCATAAGTTGACACAGCCAATCGGAAATTTGTAGACGTGCAATGTGTGTGGTTTTATGTAACAGGTTCAACAAGGCACCGCTGACCACAAATACCGCCACATGTCCCTCCTGGTGTTAAGCCATGGTCCTTTCCACTTAGATCAACTCCCTTCAGTTTATTGTTCTCACTCATGTGGTCTCCTTATCTCCAGTATTGGACTTTTCCAATTGATTGCCACAATTTAACATTTCTCAAATGCAAGTCTGAACATTTTACTATTGTTTGTAAAGCCTTGGGTCACAAAAGGACAGGAAACTAGGCTATACATTGAAGCAGGAAATAAGTGCTATTGGAACACTTACATCTCTTGCTTGTCAAACATCTCACCTTTGCTCATACCCTACCTTTTCCATGGTATCATTTCCCTGAGCACAACCCCCCTGCCCAGCTTAGTATACTCATCTGACAACAATATTTGTCACCATTCAACACTCATCTCCAGAGTCTTCTCTCAGCCCCCTTGTTTGGCTGAATTTGCATCTCAAAGCTAGAGCTGATGTGTCCTAATGAGCTGTGCCCTTTCCACATGAGCATCAAAAGAATCTATTTATTTTACTACAACAATTTGTAGAAACCATGCCTACAATTCAAGTTCCTTGGCTACAGTAGCCATGCTTTATTATGAGTTTAAACTCATTTGTCTAGGAACTATTATTTTTATTATAACATAGCATAAGAAACGTTGGCTGAAGAAATAAAGAACTGAATGTTTGATGTTCTTCCTCTCCTTATTTAATAAGTTACGTGTTTGAAATATCATCTCAGATACCACCTCTTCAAGGGAAACTTCCCTAAATCCAGCTTACACATGGGGTTAATATTTTTCCCACAGTAACTTATATGATCTTGGATACTCAGTCTACCACAAGTTACTAAGAATCTCAGAGAGGTAAAACACTCACTAGATGCCTTCAAGATTTGACCATGAAGAACAACACAGCCTTCAGTAAATGTGGGCAGATGACAGGATTGTCACAGTAATGATCAACCACATTAAAATGAGCATAATTTCTATGATACATCATTTAAATTGCCACCAAGCAGAAAGTAGGAACTCAAAGAAACTGAGAAAGTCTGATACTTTACTCTTTATTTTTCATTAATTTCAAATTTACAGAAAAGTAACATGAATAATAATGATGCAATTAACGCTCATATACCCTTTAGCTATATTCACCTATTAACATTATAACCCTTTGACTTCATCACTTTTTCTCTCTTTACCTCATCAGCTGCACACCTTATGATTTTTTCTCTAAATATTTTCATTATATATTTCCTAAGAATATGACTATTCTCCCATAGAGTCACAGTGCAGTTATCAACTTCAGAAAATGTAATATTGATGTGATTGCATAAATATTTTCAATGCAGAAGGAGTATAAAATGAAGAGCTTTCCAGTATAAGAAAACAATACCTTCAAAAGGGATGAATATAGGACAACACATCATTGTGTGAGAATCTGAGGAACAACATTGGCATAAGGTCCTAAACTTCTGATGTGTAGAGAGAAGGAAAATAAACCATTAGTACCAAAATTTCCTACTTGATAGTTTCTTGAAAGACAGTTCCCACATTCAACATTTTCTTTAGAGCTCCTATGACATCCTTATTCCTAATACTATAGATTAAAGGGTTTAGAACAGGAGTGATTATGGTG